CTAATCGCCACCGTCATCTTCATGATCGTCGCCCTTGTTCTCATCTGCGGCGGTGGCCCTGAGGGTGGAAAGTACGATGAATACTGGGGTGACCGCCTCTGGAGGGATCCCGGTGCTTTCCAGAACGGCTTTCGCGGATTCTGTTCCGTCTTCGTTACTGCTGCTTTTGCCTTCTCTGGTACCGAGCTTGTCGGTCTAGCTGCTGCTGAGTCCACCAACCCTGCCAAGGCTCTTCCGGGTGCCATCAAGCAGGTCTTCTGGCGTATCACTATGTAAGTTTCACATTTCAGCTGATACCCAAAGTTCATCATTAATATGATCCAGCTTCTACATTCTGGGTCTCACCTTCGTCGGCCTCCTCGTTAGTTCCACCGATGAACGTCTTCTGAACTCCGCCAACCCCTATGCCGATGGTGTCTCCCCCTTCGTCTTGGCTCCTCTCGATGCGGGGCTTAAGGGATACGACAGCTTCATGAACGTCGTTATTCTTGTTTCCGTCGTTTCTATCGGTGTCTCTTGCGTGTACGGTGGTTCCCGTACGCTTACCGCCCTTGCCCAGCAGGGATACGCCCCGAAGATCTTCGCCTACATTGACCGATCCGGTCGTCCTCTTTACTCCGTTATCCTCAACCTGGCCTTCGGCGGTCTTGCCTACGTCCGCCTCGCTTCCTCCGGCGGTGTTGTTTTCGACTGGCTTCTGTCTCTTTCCGGTCTGGCTGCCCTCTTCACCTGGGGATCCATCTGCGCCGCTCACATCCGCTTCCGCGCTGCCTGGAAGGCACAGGGCCACACTCTCGACGAGCTTCCCTTCCGTGCCATCGGTGGAACTGCCGGTTCTTGGCTGGGTCTCTTCCTGATCTTCATCTCGCTTCTCGCCCAGTTTTTTGTCGCCATCGCGCCCCCCGGCAGCGCCGACCTGGCCACCGCTGAGGACTTCTTCAAGGCCTACCTTGCCCTGCCCGTTGTCCTCTTCTTCTGGGCCTGCGGTTACCTCTGGAAGCGCCAGGGCTTCCTCAAGCTTTCCCAGATCGACCTCGACACTGGCCGCCGCGAGCACGACTGGGATGAGATTCACGCCTACCGCGCCAAGGTTGCCACCTGGCCCAAGTGGAGACAGTGGCTTGACAAGGTCTTTTAAACTACATGTGAATCTGCAACAGCTCGGTCACTCGAGCCATAAAGGGGGATGTTTGGTGTTGTAAATCCGAGGCTTTCTTCTAACCATCTATGTTTTTGTAGAGTCTCGCCATCTTGATACCTATCTAGTCTCTGATCTATCATCAGACATGCGTCTTCGTGCGCTAATACATGAGTTTATTCGAGGTCAACTTCGCCATTGTCTCTCTGTAGTGTTTGCCTATGCACAGGCCTGTGACCCGGAGTGTAGCGATTTTAACATCGCGGATGATGCAATCTAACCCCGCCCTTGCACATTTGATGGCCTATTCTTTGCAGCCAACCACTTGATCTGCATTTCGCATCAAAACCCTACAGCCGACTACGGACAAGGCCGGCTTAGGCGCTGTGCACTTTAAGTGAGACGGACACTAATCTACCTAGCATCCAATCGACACGAATTTGCCGGTTGAGCAGGTGCAAAGTCAGCACGTCGTCAAAGGAGAGTTTGTGGCGGCCCCGTAGCTGTCGGGTCTGGCCGCCCCCGTTGCGGGTCTAGCGTCGCCGCCGGAGCCGAGTTGTAGACGGTGCATTGACTTCCAGGCCGGAGAAAGCGTCAAAGTACAGAATAATCCGCTAGAATATTCGGCATGTTGCAGTAAAAACTTCGCAAGTTGTTTTTATTTGGAGCTTTGCTAGCCGGGCAGCGTCAGTTGGCTATCCGGGCAGTGTCTATCACACACGCTTGTAATCCGTATATCCCAATGTGACGCCCTTATTTTCCTATATTAAAGCGACTACGTTTTCTGTATACTCGATTTCTTGATTTATATTGTTATCGCTATCGTCGTCGTAATTGTCGTTGTTGTCCTTCTTGTCGTCGTCGTCGTCGTCGCCCTCAGTCGTTGTCGCTGTCGTCGTCTATCATCGTCGTTATTATCGCTACCTATATAATTAAAGTAACCGAACTACGCGCGGCTAATCGAAGTATTAAGTGTACTACAATTAATACCACAGGCCACACTGCCCGGATAGCCAACTGACACTGACCTGCTAGCAAACTCTTGATTTATTCCTCTGACGATATACCTGTATGTGTTTAGGAGACTACGACAGCATGCTAGCGGACTAAGACTCCGAAAGAGATGTAAAACTCGGTTAGCGCTTGGCTGGAGACCCTATCCACGTGGATATTCACTCTATTTTCATGCGCTTGTTGGCTTGGGATCTCGTACCAGCCCCCACGATCCACTGGATACGAGAAGGCCGGGGATCATAAGTGGACCTGCCAACAACGCCCCTTCGTATCTGTGTTATTGTGCAAAATCACAACGGTCCCCAAGTCTTTGAAATCCTTCGACTCGTCCTTTTTGGAATTCGCGAAAGACAACTTTCAATAACCAGATGTCCAACATGCGGCTAACAGCAACTCCACGTGTTGGATCGACTCTCATTGCGCCCTTCCTACTACTGAATACACTTGCCTCAACAACAAGTGCCGCCTACGTCCAGTTTCAAGATTGCTATGATGCCATTTATTCGGAGGTGGCAGCCTCGTCGAACACCCAACTCAAGCCTGAAGGCCTCAGAGGCGCCCTCGATAACTCTGATGCCGTCACAAAACTCCACTTGAACCTCACGGGAAGCTATGCTGGCGTCAAGACTTGCGATCGCGTCCCGTCTTCAGACGCATCGGCGACTGTCGAGATAACCAGCCTCACGGCATCCAAGAGCTACACGGTACACAATGTCACGACTAGTTGCCACGAAACAAACTACCCTAACCATGACGTCGCTCTCATCCGCCACCAAATGATATTCCTCCTCGATCCGCCTTCTCTCATTGACAGCTACGACCTCAACCTTCACCTATCATCCTCCTCGCAACCATTCTCCTGCGTAACCGCCACGATAACTCCCGCCCTCTCCCCAATCGCCAAATCCATCGCCCAATACCTTCCCCCCGCTACTCTCCTCCTCACCCTCCTCCTCGCCCTCTGGCACGAACTCCTCCCCCTCCAAATCTCCTCGCCAACCTTCAACGGCCCCTTCATCCCCTCCCCCTCCCCAACCCACCTCACCCTCATCTCCCAATGCCTCACCACAATCCAATTCCTCTTCCTCTCCACCGCCCTCACAATCCCCTACCCCTCCTTCCTCCGCCCCCTCGCCGCCCCCTCAAGCTGGTCCACCCTCATGATCCCCCGCGGGCCCGTCCACTCCGCCACCCCCTACTTCGGCCTCAAAGACGCCCTCTACGAGGTCAACGGCACCCTCACCGCCGCCCCGGGCCTCGAGCTCATGACCCAGATCCTCGGCGCCCCCGTCACGCCCCGCAGCTGGGCCAACACCCTCACCCTCGTCGGCCTCCTCCTCCTCGCCACCGCCGCCGCCGCCCAGCTCGCCCTCCGCCGCCCCAGCAACCGCGCCCGCGCCGCCCGCCTCCGCAGCACCACCGACCCCGGCCTGCGCGGCACCGTCTGGACCGTCCTCCGCGTCTTCCTCACCTATTTTCTCACCCCCGTGGCCGCGTGGTCGACGTACCAGCTCACGGCTGCGGCCTTCCTGCCCCTCTACCACACCGTGCTGACGGCGCTCGTCGTGGCCCTGCTGGTGGCCGCGCTGTGGTGGGGCGTGACGCAGAACTCGCCGCGGAACATGGGCTACCTCCTCCTCGACGCGTCCAAGACGCCGCAGACCCCGGGGCGGTTGTCGCGCAGCCAGGACCGGTACGCCATGGCCACGTTCGCGCTGATGTTCGTGCGCGGCGCGGCGGTCGGGGGGCTGCAGATGGCGGGGGCCGGGGTGGTGCAGGTGCTTGTGCTGGCGGCGTGCGAGGTTGTGCAGCTGCTTGTGATGGGCTTCACGTGGCGGTGCGTGCCGGTTTTGAGGGTTGGCGAGGCGCTGAGCGCGGCGCGGTTGGTCGTTTTGGGAATCTTTGTGGCGTTTTTGCCCGGGGTTGTTGGGGAGGTGAGGACGAGGAATGTGCTTGGGTTGGTGGTGCTGGGGGTTCATGCGGTGGTTTTGGTGGGCGTGTTTGTGGTGCCGGGGTTGGTTCGGGTTGGGATTTTTATGGCGAGGACGTGGGATGTGGTGAGGGCGGATAAGAAGAGTGAGAGAGATGGGCTTGAGGTGAGAATTTCGAAAGCTTGGTCGTGGGCTTTGCTGACTTGTGCAGGAATACCGTCTCCGTCGTCTTGATACAGGCATCGTCCCCGAGCAACGACCCGATTCTATTGTCGTATCAGAACGCCCACGATGCCCATCGAGTCTTCTCATGTCACCCATCTCGACTGCGCCTCTCCGGAAGAGCGTTAGGGATGATGCGGCAAGCTTCAGGGGACATAGACTTTCGTTGTCGATTTCGAGCAATGAGACTTCTGGAAGTTCGGTTGGAGAGGAGAGACATTCCGAGGAAGTTGGAGGGGAGATTGAGGACCTGGGCTCACCGGGCTTTGTGTATGAGGCAAGGGTTGGGAAGAGGTTCTCGAGGGCTTCGGTGTTGAATTACTCCAGGCCCTTAGATGGACAGCCGCAGACTCCATGAAGTTGAGCTGTTGGGTGATCACCTGAGTTATTCAGGGCTAGAACTCGAAACTTATCATTCTTGAAGTTTTCTCAGGCGGGCCATTTGCTACCGCCGTGCTCAAGTCGTGCGTCAAGAACCAAATTGGAAAGCAAACACAATTCGCCGTGGTTTCAATGAGCTATGTCTACAAGTTTCGGATTTCGAAAGAAAACGACACGAAGCTGAAGAGGTGGTGGGTAGTGATCGATGAGATGAGAAAAGCATTGACGTCGATAATGGATACTATTATCAAGGACCAAAAAGAGTCTTCAAGATAGCTATTGTTCTGTAGTTATCCGCGGCTGAAAACCAAAACTTAGGTATGATCCCTTTCACATACCAAAATTCTTAGGGTCGTCGCATAATATTTATTCTCGTCATCGGACCCATCGACATCGCCCCGGTTCTCCAAAGCCTCCTGTCGAGCGCCCACGTCTTCCAACTCACTCACGAAGTTAAACACATCATCGTCGCAGCCGGGATCATCTTCCGCGTCGTAGCCACAAAATTGAGAGGCATAATGGTGAGGCATGGCGTAGTACCTACAGCCAGCCGCGTGAAAAACCAGCTGCTCATTTTTCCACGATCCATAGCGCCCAAAAACCATTTCCGTCATGTGTTCGTCGAGAACCGTGCTCTTGCGTCGAAGACGATGGTCCACGAGCCATACTGTCGGGTTCGAGAAATGGAACATTTCTCGTGTGGCCTTGGCCAAACAGTCGTACATCTCCCAGCGAAGGATGTCCAATTCGTCTTCTTCGGTGTGCTCTTCAAAGTTCATACTGCGCTCCCACTCCAAACGATATCTCCCAAGCTCTTCAAGGCTCCACGAGGGATCAAAGTCCACGGCAACGTGGCGGATCCCACCGAAGCCGAACTCCGGAGATGAAAAAGGCATGTAGTGAAGTAATGTGTTCCAATCCGCTTGGGTTTCCTGCGGTGCGAGATGTAGCAGATCGTACCCGGGTAAGATGGTCAAAGATTGGGTTCTCCCGCTACACTCCACATTGAAAGTTGCCGGCATTTGCTCGTTCTTCGACTTGCTAGCTACCGAATCACAAAGATATGTTTTGTCGTCGTCGCAATGCTTGCGTTGCTTTTTCCGGAAGTCGACCCATTCCTCTGGCTTGTAGCGCCGATCCATCGCTGCGCGCGACTCTTTGCATGCGGTCCAGAGTCCGCCGTCGATGGCGTAGGTCGACTGGTTGCCCTCGTACCAGGACGGGCAAGATGTGTCATCCCCAACTAAAGGGGCTGCAAGAATTTGGTTCTGGTACTTCGAGGTCCGGTTGACGATGTGACTTTTGAATATTTCGGGAATCGGGCTGGTGTTGTCCCACGATTGCAAACCTGAAAAGTATTGGACTCCGCGGGCGCCAATGGGACGTGTTGAGAAGTTCCAGATCTGATCTCGAATCTCGCCCGGGAGGAGGGAAAAGGAAGAGAAATTTCCTCCAGTCATCTCTTCTGTGGAGATTTTGATATCCTTCCCGATGGTATTGTGGCGTTTGAGGTAAGAACCGTCGGTTCACCTTATGTGCTAATCGGTTCAATGATAGGGGGCGATAAGTGGAAGTTCGAAGTTTGATGTCAACGTCGTTGAAGAATATTACAGGTATTAGAAAAGAAAAAGAAAAGAAAAAGGACCTGGCGCTCATCAATATTCTGGAACCCTTTTGATGTGTTTTGTTTTAACACAAATTCCTTTTTTCTTTTTTAAGGTTCGTGTTGCGCACTTGCAAGGTCGCTGAAGAACTTTTCCAAAGTGGACTGGTAGCCCTGCGCTCTAGGCAACAAGATCCAGATTGCTTTTCCTTGCTAATTGGACCGAAGATGTAATTGCCGGTGGCTAAATGTCTCCGACCGTCCTACTCGGATCGCGAATGTGAGTTCTTCTACCAATTTCTGTGACGGCAGTACTACACCCCAGGGCACATCAAAACATTCTTTCGTCAAGGAATCGATTACTCATGATTTATCGGTTGCTATTCGCAACATCTAAAAATCCTTTTGGGAAAATAGTGGAAGGTCACTGAAGGCCCTCACGACACGGAAGGTGTGAGACCAGAATTTTTGGTTAGATCGTAAACTGTTGTAACTTCTCCCGCCTTGTCGGCCCGAGTAACCATCGAAGGAGATGTACGATCTAAACTATGTAATCTTCTACAGCACAGCTCTAACGCTTTTAATATTTAATATGAAAAGGATATTGATTTCAATCATGCAGCATGGCTCGATTATTGAATCGGAAGCTATTCGCACCTCATGGCGGCTGATAATTAGAAGTTATTAGCTATACCGACTTCTGCATTTTACGATAGAGTCCGTTAGTTTGAGGTGCTAAGAAGCGTGCTAAGAATTACAGCTAAAAGAGTGCAGGGCTAGTGAGAGGATTAGCATATTTTGGTTGATTAATATTCAATCCACTATATCATCATAGGTATTACCCTCTTTACCGTCCTCTCTATTGTCCTCCCTATCGCTCTCTCTGTCATTCTCTTTGTCGTCCTCTCTATCATCCTCTCTATTATCCCCTCTATTGTCCCCTCTGTCATTCTCTATGTCGTCCTTTCATCGCGTTCAAGGGATCCTGCTTGTGAAGGTTGTGGTACTAACGGCCTCAATGTCATTAACTTGGCCTGCATGTAATCCCTGCCGCCCCCTAGCAATCTTTTCATCGGATGGTGAGCTCTATGTCGATCTCCGAATACCACGACACCATCTTTCGTGACTGGAAATTTTGATACGGGCTTGATTTTCGTTTTCAACTCGCCAGTCGATATGTGCTGAAGAATCTGGCATGATGGGCTTTTCTCCCATATCGATGTATGCCCTGGGCCGTGACATGTGTTCCATGGATTGGCAGTACACTGCCACACTGTCTTGCTGTCTCCCAGTGGGCAACTGCCTTCCACAATTCTATCGACAGTGCCACCGCTTCGGGCTCTGAAGGCAAGTGCGTCCAGGCAATGCATTTGCGCAGCGAGATAGAACCCACCCTCTGGAAGGGTGGAACAATCAGGACAGGCACTTCCAGGTTTGAAGACCGGCATGATTGCGTTTCCGAGGCCAGCGCAGACTCCCATGACATCAACACTTTTGACAATTTCCTGCCACGAGCCTGCCACTGAACTCGGATCTGAGACGCTGACTTTGCTCAAGGGTGTACCCTTCATAGGTGGTTCGATAATTGACATGAGTTCTGTAGCAAATATGAACCCTCGCTAGGCTTCGAATTACCTATACTATAGATACCTATAGGTAGCTATATAAATAGGTTAAGTTATAGGTAGACCTAGGCTATAGGTAGATAAGTTTACTAGGTATATAGGTAGATATAAATATAGGTATAAGTAGAGATTCTATTTATACCTATAGGGTTATAGGTAATACTACACCTCCTAAAGTTATAGTATATTATAATAACTATTATAATAATCTTATATAAAATTTCATTTTAGTAGTATAAGTCTATAAATAGAAACTTAACTACTATATATCTTTAAAATATATTATATATAGTCTCTATTATTTAGTTTTATATTCTTATTACTAAATTCTTTAGATTCTTAATCTAATTAAGTTATTTCTTATTCTATAGTTCTAAAGCTACTATTTTCTATTTATATTATTTAATACTTAAGGATTTTTTACTTTAAATCTATATTATCTAGCTATATATCTAATAACTTCTTATACTTATTATTATTCTCCTATATTATTTTAAAAGAACTTTTTTATTTAATACTAAGGATACTACTACTATTTCCTTTATTAGAAAGTTCCTTAATTATAAAACTATCTTTTATATTTCTACTAATTATATTACTACTACTAAAGATTTCTTATAAAGTATAACCTCTACTAAAAAAAGCTTAAATCTTATTATAGAAGTTAATATTCTATTTATTTTTATTACTTTATTCTTTATTCTAATAGTTACTAATTACTTTAGATATATTACTATTATTAAGTAATTCTTAATTATTATTAATATAACTAGTCTTCTCTTTATCTATATTACTTAGTTCTTTATTCCTTTAGTCTTTATTCCTTTAGACTTTATTCCCCTAAGTTTTATTCCCTTAAGTTTTATTTCCTTAAACTTTATTTCTTTAAGCTTTATTCCCTTAAGCTTTATTCTCTTAGACTTTATTCTCTTAGGCTTTATTCTATTAGTTATTAGTTTCCTCTAGAGTATTAATATTACTTTTAGTCTAAAGAGTAGTATTTCTATTTATAATAATTTTAGAGGAAATAATTATATTAGTAATATTAAGGCTATTTTAAGTATCTTAGTAGGTATTAAGAGATAGTAATTAAGGTTAGCTAAGATACTCTAATATAGTAGTATCTAAGAGTATATTTAATTTATAGTTACTTAGAATAGAGATATTATTTTCTTAATTAACTTTAGCTTTCTTTTTTATTTTAAGTATACTTATAGACCTCTTTTATTTTATAGAAGTTTTCTTAATAATAATACCCTTCTTAGCCTTAAGAATAGCTTTATTACTCTTAGGCTTATATTAAATAGTTAAGTTTAGTTTTAAGGTTATATATAAATAATTTTAGAACTAAGTTTTACTAATAACTCTTTAATAATAGTTAATATATATAGTATATTCTGAAATAATATAAGTAAAGTAAAATAATAAAATAGAAATAAAATAAAGTACCTTCTTATATACTACTTAACTATAAAGTGCCTATTCTTTAGGATAATATATAAATCTTCTTAATTAAAATAAGATCTTTAGTATTAATAGTAACCTAATAAGTATAAATAGCTATTTATATATATACTGAAAAATATTAATAAAGAATTTAGAAAAGGAAATAAAAATATACTATTAAATATAGAAACTAAGAGGGCTTTAAAACTCTCTTATAATATTTTAAGAGTAGAAGTTTAAATATAGTTAAGCGTAATAGAGTAAACCTTATAATATTTAAGTATAATCTCCCTAATAAGATTCTTAAAGGATATTTTTAGAATTAAAAGCTTATATAAAGCTTAGATATAGTGTATTTCCTAAAAAGTATAGTTTTTAAAATATTAGTATTATAATAATTTTTAAGAATTATAATAATCTAACTTATATTTAGGTTTATATTTATAGGCTAGTGCTTACTATCTAACTATATAGGATAGCTTCTTTATAATAGTCTTATAGGTAGTTTTAGGAGTAGTCTTATTAGTAGTCTTATTAGTAGTCTTATTAGTAGTCTTACTAGTAGTCTTAGGAGCAATCTTATAGGTAGTCTACTTAGGCGTATTTCTAGTACTACCTATACTACTATTATATTAATATATAGGTATTATAGATTTATATCTATAAGAAATTAGCTTTTAAGAAAAGATAAAGATATTAAAATAAAAATACTTATATAAATAGAAGAATAAACTATATAAAGTTATAGTAGTAATATATTTATAGAGAGAAGAAAAAAAATAACTTTAGTTAGTTAGTAGATTTAAAAAGAGAGGTTATACGTATTAACTATATTATATCTAGGATTTAGTAAGTATAATATACCTCTATTACTATAGTAATAATAACCCTCACTTTAAAATAATTATATAACCTATATAAGTAGTCTATATAGCTATATTATAGAAATTTTAAATCTACCCTAATAGAATTAATCTTACCTCTTATAACTAATAAAATAAAACTATTATAAGTATAATTTTAAATATCTTAAATTATTTATACTAAATCTCTCTAATCTATCTATTAAGGTATACCTATAGATATATCCCTACTACTATATATTTATAGTTTATACCTATAAAGTTATTATAATAATCTATAGTATTATTATAATAATTATTTCTATAAGTTACCCTATTAGCTTTAGTATAAGAGAGAAACAAAAAGCTATAGGGGATTATTCTACTAATCCTTATACTATAAAAGTATAGAAGTATATTAATAATATAACTGATATTAAGGCTGAGTTTTACTAACTAAAATAGTAACTAAATATTAGAATAATATATATAAAGAAAATAATAATCTAAGAGTATTTAGATTAGAATTCCCTAAATAAGGCGTAATAAAATACTATAATTAAAGAAATGAAAATATAAGTATATTAAAATATATAAGTTATATTTTTAAAGGGTTTAGAAATTTACTAATAAGAATTTAGAATAGATAGAGGATATTACTTATCTTAATTTAATCCTTATTTNTAATAAGAATGTAGAATAGATAGAGGATATTACTTATCTTAATTTAATCCTTATTTTATTTCACTTATTCTAATTATATTATTACTACTTATATATTTAGCTATTAGTATAGCAAAAAATATACTAAAGAAGTATAGATAATTTACTTTAAGATTTAAACCTATAATATAGCTATCTTTAAATAATCCTCAGTAAGTACTATAAGAACCTAGTTATTACTTCTATAATTTTTTAATTAGCTTATCTATATCTAATATCTA